AAAGAAGCCTCCATTGGATCTTTTCTCTAAGGTGGTTAAACCAAAAACTGATATAGAGACCAAAGCTCTGATACCAATTGTTGGACCCTAGAGGGGGTGATTAGGGTCAAGAGGCTCTAATTATGCAATAAAAATTAAGACAAGCAAACCACAATAAACTGATGCAATCAAAGTAAGTGAGATAGGGTTAGGAATCGTTATCCTTGATACGCGATGTGTTAACGAGGTTCGGCCTGCTGACCTACGTCCCCGCTCCCCACTCTCGAGGAGAAATCCACTACACACCCAGTTTGGAAGCCGGAACTTCGTCTACACAGCGATCCCACACGATCTCTCACTACACAGTTTGATCTCAACAGATCACACTCCCTCACAGTTGATCTACACAAGATCTCACTCACACAGCAGAAGAAAAGATGCAAGAACCTCTCTTTACACAGCCCCTATAGCAAAGAGTAGGTTTACTGAAGCTGGGAAGTGTTTCTCAGGAAGACAGCGTCTCTCTCTGGTTTTTTGCAAACGTTAGGGCAACTGGGAAGATGAAGGAGAGAGTGTTTAAATAGAAGAAATTAAACATTTTAAAAACACAACCCAATCTTCCCAATTAAGAAAATAATCTCCTTTTCAGACCATTACCACAGACAGTGCCAAACACGGTTAAGTGAAAGCACAGCAAACGAGGCAACCGACCGTTTGAAAAAAAAGTCACGGCTGACCGAAGAAAATTTCGGTTGACCGAAGGGATTTTCGGTCGACCGAAAAAATACTTCGGTCGACCGACCGAAAATCCGATCGACCGCGAACAACTTTGAAAACCCAGAAAACAAACAGAGACTACATCGGTCGACCGACGCGGTCGACCGATAGAAAAATCGAGATTTCAGTCGACCGGGCCGGTCGACCGACAAACTCTCTGGAGTCCAGTAACGAATGATCATATGTGCGGTCGACCGGTCCGGTCGACCGCATTCTGATACATCGCAGAAAATGATTTTTGACTTAACTAAAATATTTGCAAAATATACAATACTTGAGCTTTGATATAGCTTGAATCGGATGAAGCTTGTATTCGAATTTGTCGTTCTTAAAATAACGTTGCTTCATCTCTTGGCCTCCTCCTCCTTTGGATATCATCGTTGTAGCGTATGTTCCATCCAATCCTCCATTTATGGCACTAACAAGCTTGATAAATGAATTTACTACATTTGCACTCAATAAGCTATTAGTACCGATAATGGTGGTTGTAAAACATCATCAAAACATAAGGGCTAACACTCTATGGCGGCGGCGATCTCTCAGACTTGCGGGGATTATTGAGAAGCGAATTTTAGTCAAGAAATTCGCAGTGATTCTCAGTGAGATTGAGCGGTGATTTTGGAGTAAAATCACAAGCGATATTTAAGAGATCTCAAGTTTGAGATCTTCTCTTTGCAAGTTTGTAATTTCTTATGATTAAATAAGAAATTATTTGTGCGGCTCCCGTGAACGTAGGTAAGTTTGCCGAACCACGTAAATCTGTTGTATCGTCTTTATTGTTTTATCTGTGTAGTAGTTATTGCTTGTGTTGACTTTTGGTGTAAATTCAAGCTAGAGTTGTTTTCTCTCGGGATTAATTTAGCTTCCGTGGCGGTGTGGGCGTCTTCGCCCCAACAAAACTCTTTTGTGACTATTTACTATCAGGAGGTGGCCAGGAGAGAGGGCGAGCGAATGGGTGAATTCATAGACCCCTTGAGGGTAAAATAGTTAAAAAATTAACCTGGGCGTGTCGTTCTATATTAAATTTAAGGGATCTTAAGTGTCATAGAGCTGTACTATATGATGTCTATACACAATTGAACTTTTTTTGGAGGCAATTGACCCTTTACGTTTTATCAAAAGGCATATTAATTTTTATATTGGACCCAAAATTTTCGTTTACACAACCTGATCATCCAAAGCTTTCGAAACAATTGGATCCACTTATAAAGGGTATTTCTTTTTGGACCAAAACTCATGGAGCAGCTAAAGGACAATGTGACATGCGTAATTTTTTTGGGATTCCCACCAAGGTCAATAACTTATCATACAGACGCATTATTTTCTCATAGTTGGTCTAATAATTTTGTGTCCAAAAATTTATTTCTCAAAAAAAAAAAAAAATTAACGACAGCACATATATCACCAAAGAAAATGATTATGACCAAATAAAAATAAATTTTTTACCTTACAACAAAACATCATCATCAGATGCTAATCCTCAAACAAGAAACAAACAAAATATATAAATATTCCAGAGATCATGATCGGAAGCTAACATAGCAGCCATAAAGACACGCTATAAAGAACTTAAAAGTGAACTTTATCACTCTTACAACAGCAAAGTTATTAGACAAGGACTTAAAAATGAAGAGAGAAGATTTAATCCAATGGTTATAGCTGATAAATATAAGTTTATGTAAATAATTAGTACATTTTTAAAAGAGCAGAATCCTGACAGAATTTTGTTTAGGTTACTGTTTAGGATTAAAACAAGTAATATGTTTAAACACAGTTTGGTCAATACCTAATAGCTTCAACTTTTGCATTAAATTGGTTCCTAACATCTATTTGAGGCCCATATATTAACTCTCGACTAGACCTGACATAACCTGAACAGATTCAGTATAAGTTATAACAGGTGGCCTGGTGGTTGGGACTTGGGGCCTTCCCTCACAAGGCCAATGATCAGACACATTTCTCTGTCGTCAATTTTGATTTCTCTCTGTCCAATTTTTAATTGTTAGACATTGTAGCACATGTCCTATTCATCTCAATCTGAATTGTGAAGTGGGCCATAGGAACCAGGATTTACTTGACTGGCATTATCAGGCTTGGGGGACATGCTCTCCTATGGTTCTCATAATTGGCAGAGTTGAAGTGTCAAACTCAAGGCTCCTCCCTGGTACCTGGTAGTCCCAGCCAAGGTTCATCATATGAAAAAATTAACAAACGTATCAAGTCTCTCTAGCTGAGCCCAAAATTCAACAGTAGCTGGCACATCATGATTTCCGTATGCATATACCCATATACTCTTTGCCTCTTTGGTCAAGTCAGAAAGAGCACATCAGCACATGTGGCAATGCTCCAATTTAAAGCCAACGCAAGGATCTAGTACTTAGTACCCATGTAACTTTACATAATGACTTCCTAAGCACTCATGAGATAATTGGTTGTTGTTGCCTATGTTGGAGGACTAATTGAACCTCTATCTGGAGTTAGATAGGTTGACTATTGACATAATTCAATTCACATGTGAATAATCTTTTCCTGGAAGAATCATAGAGAATGACTGATTTAAATAGAAAATTAGGATCATAATAGGTTTTTTTTTTATAGAAAATCATCTTTGAAATAGGGGTGTAATACGAGAACCATATTTATTATTTAATTTATACAACAATCATATTTAAAGTATATTTCGTTTCAATCAACCACAAAAAACTTTTTTGTTTAACTTTTTTGTTAAAATTCCTATAATACTCCTATTTTTACATGCTCTCTCTCCTCTCTCTAGGGCCCACAAATCTCAGCGGGCATTGGGGGTGAGGGTGTAGCAGTTGCCCATGACGGATCTCGGCGGGTTCATGGCGAGATTAGTGCTGGCACCGCAAAGGTGGGGGGAGGGGGGGACCAACCGGGATTTATCGTCGGTCACTACAGCACCCCCACTCGCGCCGCCAACATGCTCGCCGAGATCTGTGGGCCCTAGAGAGAGGGGAGAGAGAGAGAGAGTAAAAAGAGGCGTACTAAAGTAATTTTGATAAAAAAAAAAGTCAACAGGAAATGGATTTTGGTGGTTAATTGAAACGAAATATACTTTGAAGATGGTTCATGTATAAATTAAACAATAAAGATGGTTCATATATTACATCACTATTTTACAGATGGTTTCCATATAAAAATTCATCATAATATTATGAATATTAAACTTTTAGATTAATTTAATTCTCGATCTCAGTTTAAGACTCCTCTACTCACAAGGGCTAGATTGCTCCCTAACAAATTATAACAGTGTACAGATTGTTGTTCAAGAAAAAGGAAAGTTCAACGCTAAGATCGTAAATACCTAAAAAGTGAATTGAGATCTAGTTAGCACAATAGAATATCTTATTAGTCAAAATATACTAGACAAAGATCATGTTAACCTTGGCTGATGAATGATATCCGAGATTGCTCATAAGAGTGATTAAGGCCTCATTAGTCCATCGCTTATGGAAAACATGCTGGATACTGATAGTCATGTTGTCTATCCATGGTCGTCGCTGTCGAGGCTAAAGTCAACAAAGGTCCCTTGGGGTTTCGCTTATATGATTGTATATTCATAAATGAATAGGGATTTTGGGGAATTCATAAATGACTATGTCTTGCACTGAAAGTATTACAAGGAGCACTAATTTAATATAGAAAGTCGGGATCAATACTTTGTTGTTTACTTTTGTTTTAGGCCCCTCTCATAAAGATCCAATTTCTACTGAACAGACTCCAAATTTATATTTGAATTCATCGGTTTCTGTTTTCCTCGAAATGTACAATTACCTTCGAGAATCCTAGTAGAAATCATCAAGAAGGATACAATAATACCTAACTTAGCGAATACGATAGTCTTCAACAAAGTTGAATGGAAGAGTAGGATTTATATAACTTATTCCAAAAGACGGGATAAATGCTCTGTTGTTGCTGCTGTTGTACCTTTTAGAGAGTTTTCACATCTATTGAGAATTAAACTAATCCCACTGTCAAATTAATACCCAAAACTTATTAATTACTCTTTCTAATTCTTTCCCATGTAGAACTATACTGACAATCTCTACATCATGCTCTGCAATCCCAATGTCCTGAAATACTCTATTCCAATCCAAGAAAAACAGACCAACCAAACTGTTACCCTCAATCACCAGTGCTCCGCTCTGCCTTTAATGGAGGCTTTCTAATCAAGTAAAGTTGGTGAGCAATTGAGTGAGAAAGTGGCCAACACCCCCCCATCGTCATCATCATCACTTTGAAAGAGGAGTTATAAAACAAACTACACAAACAAAAGAAAAGAGAAAAATAAAGAAAAAAAAAAGCTAGAAAAAAGTTTGGCATGAGAGGGAGCTCAATCCTTGAAGGAAGAATCAGATGCCATATTCAGAGATTTCATATATAGATGCAACATCTCTTGTCAATTATATTTCATGGAGGTAGCTCATGAGCTTGTTCAATGCAAGAAGTGAGGTATATTCAGCCATGCATGTTTCTTTTCTTTCTTTCTTCCTTTCTTTTTTTTTCAAATTATTACGAAAATCTCAGAATTAAGATCCTGTAGAAGAAAATTTGCTGGAAGTTTTCTCTGAGTAATTCTCGTTGGTTTCTTAGAAATCCTCATGTAAGTGAATTCAGAAGAGGGATTCTATTATGTAAGTTAACTGTCAGAAATGTTGAGAACCAGATACATTTTCAGTATTGCAGAAAAACATCATCACATTAGGATCTATTTGAGAAAGGAAATGTAGGTAATTTTCTCTGTGACGAGATCCTGTATGATTTTCTCACATAATTACCTACTATCTAAGGCTTACTTCCTAGAGTGCAATCAAAGTTGTATCTCCTGAATTGTCACAAATTTTACACAGCATAATTTTGATATTAAATACAACATAAGTTTCAATGTAAATGTTAGTGTTAAACCCAGGGATAACTTTTAAGACATTGAAAACAGATAAAATTTTCAAATACAGGTCCCTCTTTATTCATTTCTTCACAAATAAATAAAGCACTTGAGTATAAGATACTTGAAAGCAAATTTCTGTAGAGCTGCAATTTAAAGTTATCTTACCTCATTTTTCTAGGAAATAATTTTATTTTCTCTGGCTTTAAAATTTCAGGCTTGCTTGAGGTGAGACCAGTAATGCCAAGGAGATGGGAAAGAAAGGGAATTGGTTCTCTGCCATAAAAAGGGCCTTCACACCTTCCTCTAAAGATAGTGTCATATATGTAAGTTGTCTCACATATCCGCATAAAATTTTTGGCCTGTATCTTCGTGCTCCTGAGAATGGATTTTAAATAGTAGAAGTAATTTGATCATCCCAAAAGTGAAACTGCTAGCTATTATTCTCATCTTCTCTGTTCAAATCTTTTCTTATTGACTTTTAGCATGAGATTATAGTCGCACATGTATGATCCCAAACAACGCTTGCATTTGTCGTATTTTGTGAATTTGTTATCGTTTCTATTTGGATTGTTTTGAATTTAAAGGTAGGAAAATTCACCATGAAAGTTATTCTGACACTCCCAGCAGGAGTTTAGGAGTATAGAGACAATCGCGAACTTAAAACCTCTTTGTGGCATCATATACTTAATTGGGTCCTTTTAGTTTAGCCTTAAGGAATTGATGCTGTTAAGTCTCATTGACTTTAGTTTAGTTATTGTAACAATCCAATTATGAGTATTATGTGTAACTACAAATATATAGAAACTATATAATCTGATATGTTTGCAGATGGTCCCAATACAATTAAGTGCCCCAGATATACGAACTTTCCCATAATTTGTTTTTCTTTGTAACATCTTTGGTATACTTATGACGATCTTTTTTTTTTTCTCACATGCATCACAACATAATACTATGTCAATTTGTGGAAAAATTGATTGCAGAGTTCAGATAAGGAAAATGTAAGGGATAAGAAGAAGTGGGGAGTAGGGAGATCAAAGCATGGAGAGGCCAATTCCCTCATCTCTCTCAATAGAGAACCAAGCAGTATTGAGAAAATCCTAGGAGATGCTGAGAGGGAGCAACAATTTCAGAGGACATATCAAGAGCAACCTAAGAAGGTTCAGCACTTACGTTCGATCTATGAAGAATCACATAAGAATGTTCAACACTTCCATTCACCTAGAGAAGAACCACCGAAGATTAAGGCTCAATATCTGCAAGAACCTAAGCGAGAATCTCTTAAGAAAGATCGTCATATCAAAACACCGAAACTGAAACAAGGGATTGTAACATATAGACGAGGCATTAATGAAAACTATGCTCAGAGTTCTGCAATCAAAATTCAAGCTGCTTATAGAGGTTACATGGTAAGGCATCTAAGTTTGTAACTTTTCCTTAACTTTCCATATTTAAAGAATGGAAATATATGTTTGGAAATATTAATATTTCTATTTCTAAAATTGATATATGCGGTTACGATTCAACTGATAAAAGCTTTCTTCAACGCATAAATACATAGATAGATGTATGTTCATTTATGTAGGTAGGAATTTGTTAAATTCAACTGATAAATGATTTCATGTTGAAATTATTTGATAGTTACTTTCCTGGAGAATGTTAGAACTAAAACTCTGTTCCAAACTTTTAAAGGTTAACATTGGAACTTTCCTTCACATCATGTTAGAACATGCTAGAAGTTAGGCATTAAAATTCATGATAAGTAAAATCCAGGAAACACTAGAATCACTTTTTTCACGTAATACACACTTGTTTAAGTTAGCAATATTTATCTCAAAAGAGTTTTCTCCCTTGAAATCCTCATGAATCAGAAATCGATTAACAATATAATCAATTCGCGATTCCCATCAAAACCACACACGGTAACTATTTTTAATGAAATTGTGTAGGCAAGAAAAAATTATCGCACTCTCAAGGGTCTAGTAAGACTCCAAAAAGTGATGAGAGGGCAAAGTGTGAAGCGCCAGACTTCAAATACTATGAAATGCATGAAGCTCCTTGTCAAAGTCCAGTCACAAATACGTGCACGAAGGCTGCAGATGATTGAGAACCGAAACATCCAGCATCACCAAACTAATGGAAGAAGCGAGAAAGAGGTGGCGAGCAGTTTCAGCAGGTGGAACCTAAGTCAAGTAAGAAAATATCTTCATTTAGTTACTGTTCTGTGTATATGAAAATTGATGGGGCAATCTGATTCTGGCCAGAAATGGATAAGCATATATTGCATTTCTATTTGGACATATTAGCTTCCTATGTGATGGCATTCAAGTGTTTGAATTAATTTGCCAAACAAAACCTATCCTCTGGCAAGTTACATATAGACATACATAGCGCTTACAATTTGTTGTCCACATGTAATGTAACTTAGTACAAAGTATACAAATTAGACAAGGCAATCCAATTCTGAACAGATAGAGGGCGTTTTGCATTTAAACTTGGATATTTTAAACTTCCTATTTGACGACATTTAAGTATAATTTGCATATGAATTAGGCAGAAAATCTCTTCCTTGGACAACATACATTTGCACACATACATAGAACACACTCTTTGCTGTCCATATATAATGTAACCCAGTATAAAGAATTTGAAACTCGATATGGCATCTCATTCTAACCTGAAATGGATAAGCATATTGCCATTTTTATTGGATATGTTGAACTTTCTATTTAAGTGTTTGGATATTGATTGCTAAGAAAATCACTTCCTTCGTCAATTTACATGTATGCATATGTAGAATGTATTGTCTGTCATCCATACATATAACATAACATAGTGTAAAGTATATTAAACTCAACAAAACAATCTGATTCTGACCTGAAACAGAGAAGCATATTGCATTTTCTATTTAGAGATGATGAACTACCTATGTGACAGTATTCAAGGTTTGGATCTGAATTTGGCTAAATACTAATACTTAGTAGTTACTCAAAAAACAATAGTAACTAGCCAAAAATGTGGAGCTTTGTAAGATTTTATATTTTTGCATCAATGCAGTCAGAGGCAGAAGCTGATGAAGAGTGGGACGACAGTGTTCTAACAAAGGAGGAGAGAGACTCAAGAACACGAAGAAAAGTGGAGGCAGTGATTAAAAGGGAGAGAGCCTTGGCTTATGCATATTCACACCAGGTATCACAATATTCCAAATACGTCATATCTTTCTAAATTCATGTAGATATCCTGAAATCAACCAGACCCGAAGAAATTGAAATGATTTAAACAGTTATTTCCATGTATTTAGTACTTTCTTTCATCTGGGAAGCTGAAACAAATCTCGAACTATACTTATATTGCACCTAGTAATCTTTTACATATCAATTCCTAAACCTTCATATTCGGTTTACCTGAAATCTAAGTAAACAGTCGTTTGAAAAGATCTAAACAGAAAGTAAGGAACTAGGAAAGGAAAAATATATACAAAACATGATTGAACAGTGAAAATTCTTCACTTGTATCAGAGTTGCATCATTAACAAATAAACGACCACCATAATTTGCACAAGCTAGCCTGACCATAATACCACACAATTGGCTTCTGATATGATATTGATATCATTGTGGGGAATGTTCTAGTCTCGACTCCAATACCACTTGTGGAGGAGGACAATCCAACCTGAGCTCGAAGCTAGCCTGACCATAATCCCACACAAGTGGGACTATACTCACGCACAAATTTCAAACAAAAACGCATCACCCTTATTGTTTTGTTTCAACTTCTTCACAGTTGCTCAAGGTTACACCAAAGTCTGCACATGCAGTGCTCACTGACATCCGGTCCGGGGGCTATCCATGGTGGTGGAACTGGCTCGACCGCCACCTTCCAACCGAACCTCCTCAGAACACCCCCAAGTTTGCCTCTGTTGCACCCCAAACCACCAGTTTCCATCCCAGTATCCAAAATCAAGCCAACAAAGACATTTTCTTTGATCTGTCCACTCCTCGTTCATCCAAAGTACTACCATCTCCAAGATCCAAGCTGTCACTCAAAACATCAAACAAAAGGCACCAAAGTTCAATGAGGGACGATGATAGCTTGACAAGCTGCCCAGCCTTCAGACCCGTGCCAAATTACATGGCACCGACAGTTTCAGCCAAGGCGAAGGTGAGAGAGAACCAGATCGATGGAGGCAGAGATGGACGAAATGGAGAGAAGAAGAAGTTCTCGTTTAGTTTGACACAGAGTATTGGGTCTCTGAGATGGGGAAAAGGGCCATTGTTTGCTGCAGCGAAGGAGCCTGTGACGGTTCAGAGAGCGGCAAGAGGGAAGCACAGGTCGACGAATTCTATAGGAGGAGCGAGCGTGGATTCGACTGTTTCATTGCCTGTTGGCGTTGGAAGAAAGCCTTTTAAGTAGCTGCTTGTTCTTGTTCTTGTTGTGTGTGTATGTTTCTATTTGATTGACTTGCTTTTGTTTTTCTGTTTGTGTGTTATTTGGGTTTACTGATTGTAATGTGACAGGGGAAAATATAAAAAGGAAAGAAAGGCTGTGCAGGACTTTGATATTATTTGTAGAATGTAATTTTTCATTAAGAGAATGAGATTTGGAATTTGTGTTTGATTCATTTCATCCCAGGCAACTTATTTATAGTGAAAGTTCGATGTGCTGTTGTTTCCTGTGGACATAGTCCATTTTATCGACCGCGCATATTTTCAATATCTATAATGAATTTTTTGGGGGTCTATTTCTTGATATTCTTAGCACTGCTGATGATATCCATTGCAGCTGTTCATAGGAGAGGACGAACTTTCTCTGATTTTCGTTCTTTCTTTCGTCGATCTGTGCGTTAGAATTTCTGCTGTGTTGCCCACAAAAAATACCAAACCGGGTGGTCTTATATGCATAATCAATCCCAGTTGGCTAACATATCTCTTCAGTAATTTTATTATGTAGGATAGGGACTTCACACATGAAAATTAAAGCAATTCCAACAAAATCATCCATTTTACTGAAGGGCCATTTTGTCAAATACATCAAGGGCATTTGCATGTCAAATTCTAAACAATGAGAATCATCCTAATATTTACAAGAGAACTTGTAAGCAAAATTAACAGGGAACTGACCAGTGAGTTGGTGATGAATGTTGCAGCAGCTAGAGATGCAGTGTTCTCCTATGAGATACTGGACACTGGAAACATACAAAATAGTTAAGGAGTCGAATGAAGCTAATGAACAAAAATGAATATTTTTTTTACTCTTTCTTTACAGAAAATCTAAGGCTAAAACTGAATCTTTCAGAACATTCAGTGAGGCATTTATACAAACAAGATGATGTCCTTAAGGACTTGAATGAAATAATCGGTGTTCTAGATGAGATCAAGAAGAAAAAAAATAGAGGAAGCAAAATAACTTCATGATAATGCCAATGTATTTCTCAAGCATAAATTTCAAAGTTAATTAAAAAAATAAAAAATTCGAACCCCCACCCCAAAGCCTCATCAAACGCTCACTCGTCGCCATGCAACAACATTATCTGATCAGTTTACAGTGAGGAGAGTTGTCCTTGGAGTTCATCATCATCTCCGTTCTTCATCGAGCTTCACTTAAATTATTCAAAAAACGGTTAGCAAATCAAAAGGATTGTAAGACCATTTCTGTATTGAATATAGCAGTTATCTGTTTTCATTTTTATTGCACGTCCTTTACGACATTTCAACCAGTTAAATTGAGGGTTGGGAACTAACTAGGGTAAGGAGTTACTCATTGTGAGAGTTAGGTTAGATGCCTAGTTTTGGATTGAAACTTGAGTGTAGTCTTGTAAGCCTACTGAATGGTGTTTGTGATTCAGGAGAACTATTGCTTATCATCTATTTATCGTTGTAATTCGTTCTTTACCACTGGATATTTTGTGTTTACATGAAAAAGTATCTCAGATCCAACATAAATATCATGTATCATTGTTTGAGACAAATTTAGTATTTTGATTCAAGTATAGCACAACAAAAGGGATTCCTGAAAGTCCAAGCCCAGGGGATTCATGTTGCACGCTATCTATGATCTCGTGATATATTTTGACTCAAAAAAGTTTTTGCCTTTATTTAAGTGGGCAAGCTTGCTGCCACCTTTTTCCTTTAAAATATCACCGCGTGATGTTTGCTGAAGTATAAGAATATGTTCTGCCTTTTACCTTGTATAAAAGGATAAACCCAATCTCCTTAAACTCTCACAATTCCACACACGACAAATATAGAAAAATGGCATACTATTATCCTCGCAGTCAGATCTCTGATGACTACTGCGCATACATAACCAAACTGGAGCGAAAGACAAGCATGTGCGAAGGCCCTCACTTCCCTCGTGGCATGTTCAAGGGCGACGCGCCGCAGGATGGAAAATCTGAAGCGCGAAAGGAGAATATGTCGAGGGCTGCTGTTGCGGGATTCGGGCAAGCTGCACATATCAAGCACGAGAGTAGCAGGGGGAGAACCGAAGAGGACGTGGAGGTGGATATTCGAGAGTACGTGAAGCATGATGCGGAGATGGATGCTAGAGAGTACGTGAAGCATAAGCATCCCTTTGGACTGTCGCGTCTGTTTGCATTAATGCTGCACAAAAGGATAAATAAGTAATGCATTATTAATGCAGTTAAATCCTCGGATATCTTATATCGAACAAATTTGAGAATAGATAAATCTAACGCACTGTTAATGCAATGAATCAGGACTATTGGATATGTTATGAATAATAGAATTATATCGTTTATGTATTGAGAATGACGAATAAATAAACTTCATGCTTTTTCTACTATTGCTTATAACTAAGAATTATGGATTTCTATTTGCTAACAATTTTTTTTAATATCTTTGGCCTATTGAAAAAAGAAAGAAAGAAAAAACAATGAGAAAGCACAAGTGGGTATATGCAAAGCTAATGTGAGGAAACGCATTGGCAACTGCTACGTTTTAATACAGAAAAATCTAGTGTCTATACAAAATAGATTATATCAGCACTAAATTTACCATGTTTCATCACAAAAGCAATTCCATTACATAGAGTAACCAACTATATGATCCCCTACAATAAACAATCCCTACTATATTAAACCTTACACACAAAACCCTAACGCCGAGTAACCCCAATGTATTACTCAAGCATAAATTTGAACATTGCCTCAGAAAAAAAATTACCAATTTACTTCAGAATTGCAGCTCCAATTGCAAAGAAAACACAATTCACATATCATAAAGTCAAATAATCCCTCCACTGAAAAGTTATACATCAATAACATAACAACATAAACTGTAAGTTTATAAAAAAAAACATATAACCAATCAATAACATAGCAACATAAACTGTAAGTTTATAAATTACAACAATACCCAAATTTAATCCCAAATCCCCATAATTCCCCCCCTTCAAACAACTTGAAATGGTTGGCAATCTTTCCTCACATTAGCATTATCATCCCCAAAATGTTGCACTTTCCCATTTGGCCCCTCTTCCACATGAATATAGAACCTCATCGCAAAAGCCAACACCAACACAACCCACTCAAGCACAAACATAACCAAACCCAAAACCCCAACCATCCTCAATATCACAACGCCATCATCCTCTTGCACATAAGACTTCATCTTCTCAAGAAATCCATCTGTCCTCGAGAAGATGAGGAGGGCGACGGCACCTTGGAAAATGGCGGTGATGACAGTGGCAGCCATGTGGGCTGCATGGGCCCGGGATGATGAGGTTGCTGAGGAGGAGGAGGAGAAGATGGAGAGGATGATGGTGAGGAGATGGAGGAGAATGAGGAGGAAGCCGATGAGGGAGGGGAGGAGACGGAGGGAGAGGGCTAGGAAAATGCAGCTTGTGGCGGCACCGATGAGGATGTAGTTTGTGAGGAGGAAGAATTTGTGGGTTTTTGATGTGGAGTTTGAGAGGCTGATACCCATTTTGGAATTTGGAGAATTTTGAGAGAAATTGGAGGAATTTGTTGTTAACGAAGTGTAGAGAGAGGAGGAGACCTAGAGAGAGAGTGTGTGTGGGTGAGGAAGCTTGGAGGGGGGGTTTAAGAAGAAGAAGGGGGGAGAGGATTTGAACGTTGGAGTTGGAGAGTAACGTTGGAAAAGGGACAAGAATAACAAATGCAACGGCTAGTTGTTTATTGTTATAGGCAGCGGTTTATAGTTTATTTGTTATAAATAAATAAAATTAAAGTAGTGGGCGGCTAGTTAAATTGGGATTCGCATTGTATTCGAGTCAAGTGTCCTTTTTTCCATTTTTTTATTGGGCCGTACCTATGCGCCCCATTAATTGGTTTGAACTAAACCAGTCATCAGCGTTCCGCTTGAGAATATATGCATCGATTTGTTAGGATATTAAAAAAGAAATAATTTCAATTCTCTCGGTTTCTAAAAACAGACCTCTTTTTAGGGTTTTTTTTTAAGTAAACCACTTTTATAATTAGGGGGGTGAGGTGAGTGAAATAGTGAGTTTGGTCGGTTTTGATTAATTTTAACGATACCAAACCAAACTATTTTACATTCAAAACTGAACAGAATTGATCGAAATTAGTTAAGTCGGTTCAATTCGGTTTTATTCAGTTTTAGATTGGACTCATTTAATTAAAATATTGCTTTCTCAATCCAAAAGAATTCAGTTTTAGATTGGACTCATTTAATTAAAATATTGCTTTCTCAATCCAAAAGAACAATACATGTTGAGACTAATTTTGGTTAGTTCAGTTTGGTTTAATACGTTTGGGGATGAACTCATTTAAGTAAGAAAAAGAGTTTTTTTAATCCAAAAGAAAGACATGTATGGAGAAATTGGTGTAAGAAAAATGTGTATTTAGGGATCAACTAAAGAACAATGCAAATAAGTTGAATCGTAAACCATTTAAGGAAAGAAGAGCATGCAGGAAATTGGTGGACTAATCGAAAAAAAATACATTCTCAACAATCAAGAAAGCGATCTGTTCGGTTAGTTCGAGATAAAAAGTTTTCAAACTGAACCAACCCACATGTATTCTAAACTAAACGGAACCATCAAAATTCAATCGGTTTAATCAGGTTTGAACCGATTATGCAACTCCTATTTAAAATAGGGTGATTGTACAGAAACCATATTTAAAGTTTAATTTATATAGAAATCATCTTCATATAGGTTCCAATTACAGCCAACTATGTTGACCTGATTTCTGATGAAATCTTGACTAAAATTTACAAAACGTCCTAAAAAACACACGTGCCGGGCACGTGACATGTCTTCTTAACCAAACCTAGTGCCTCACACGTGTGTTCTTAAATGATTTTTTTGGAAAAATTTAGGCAAAATTTAAAATGAAAAAAAATGTCAAGATGACTAATTGCAATCGGAAACTACTTTAAAGGTAATTTTTTTATAAATTGAACTTCAAAGGTGATTCTCGTACAATTATTCTACGTGACTCTCGTACAATTATTCTATCTTGAAAGCTATTTCTATGAAGGGGAAAAACCCCCCTTTTTCAGTGAACCGTCCATTTTTCTTCTCTCTTTACCTCAATTCCTTCATTATTAATTTTAGTTGATTTGCTTTTTTTTTTGTTGATCTCCATTTCAACATCTTTATTTCACTACTTTCTTGATTTGCATCTTTTGCTTTGGATCAAAATATTTCATTTTCTTAACTAGATGGAGTCTAAGCCTAAAACCAAATAGACCGGACCAACATTTTTCCGACTCAGTCTGATTGGGTAATCTTGGATGCTTTGGTTCGCTTTCGCCAAAATTTGTCAACTTGTAAATCCTCTAAATCTGCATGAAATAATAGTGTTAAAGAAAAAGGTAAAAGCCAATGCTAGATCCTTAGGCACAAATTAGCAACCATGCGGATATGAGGGGGAAATATGCAAATAGAAAAAATTTAGGGGCACATAGGTAAAAAATTTATGGTAGTGCACTTCTTCTTTTAGTTGCTTGTCTTGGTCATCTTTGATTGAGAAATTTAAGTCGTGGAAGAGTGTTGTTGTCCTAAGGGTGTTTGTTTAAATGCAAGTGAAAAATGGAAAAATGACTTATTTTTTATAGTTTAGGTGTTTGTTAAAATGATGTTGAGATGCTTATAGGAGCCTTCTTGATTTTGAGCCCTAAAACTAGTTAACTTTAGAGTTTTGGTATAGCGGCAAAGACTCTAAGATGATACCAGAGCATTCGGAGTTCGAATCTTGTTGGCCAACAAATTGGCATCTTAAAAAAATGATAGGAAAACCCATAGACACTGTAGAAAGAAGGATAGCATGAGCAACCAAGGGAAGTAAAACCTAGATAAATTGGAAACCTGTTCTTTTCTGTTATGATCCATCGCCATTTCCTATCAAAATGAGGTTGTTTCAAACTGTATCAGCATTGTGAGACCACCTCAGAGAAAATGAAATGTTGAGCATCCTGTGGAAAATGTTTCGGAATCTGTAGATATCATGTGAAGTTTAAGGTATTTCTCCTGCTACAATAGTCAATAATGAAATGGTGTATAGTGTAAACAAGGTCTGCCTTCTCCAAAGATTTCTTTGAATCTACGTCTGCCTTCTTTGAAAATCTCCGAACCTTCCAATCATTTTGCCTGTTGTCTGTGGCAGAAGCTACAAGTTTGGCGGTGACGACGACAACAGGAAATATGTCTTGTCAACTTCCAGTTGCGAGGATCATTGACATATTTTTCTTCTACAACAACTCGGTGACTAGAAATGTCTTTCTTCTAAAGTTGTTTCTCTTCTTTTTGTCTTCAAACTTCTATACATTCTTTCATCATCAAGAAATTTCCAATCAATACTAGCCGCAAGAAAATCAGCATTATGTGAACAGAGAAGATGGGGAGATTGCAGCAATCATACAAGTTGGTATACATCAGAATCATCCCAGAGAGCATGCATCACATTAGATCTTTATTCTCATAAGCAATATTTTAACAGCAATAACAATAACACCAACATAACATCACGTTTCCTTGTGATGATAACACAAATAACAAACAATCAACCAAACTCACCCAAAAAAAAAAAAAAAAATCCAAAATCTCTACTTATACCTGGAAAGGCCAGGGCCAATCCTTAACATCCTCCCCTTCATCCCTAACCTTAGCACCTCCACTCCCCTCAACAGGCACATAAAACCTCATCACAAAATCCAGCACCAACGCAACCCACTCAAGCACAAACATGACCAGACCCAGAACCCCAACCATCCTCAATATCACAACCCCATCCTCCTCTTGCACATAAGACCTCAACTCCCCAAGAAACTCACCAGTCCGGGTGAAGACGAGGAGGGCGACGGCGCCTTGGAGGAGCGAGGTGGCACTTTTGGGACCCGGCATTGTCGGAGGAAGAGGAGAAGATGGAGGAGACGATGGTGAGGAGGTGGAGGAGGATGAGGAGGAAGCCGATGAGGGAGGGGACGAGGCGGAGGGAGAGGGTTAGGAATATGCAGCTCGTGGCGGCGCCAATGAGGATGTAGTTTGTGAGGAGGAAGAATTTGTGTGTGTGAGACTGAGAGCTTGAGAGGCTAGCAATACCCATTTTTAAAAATTGGAGGATTTTGAGAGAAAATAGAGGTTTTGGATGAAGAGGGGTTTGGGGAGGTGAAGGGATTATAAAGAGGTTAGAGGGAGGGAATTTGACCGTTGGAGATTGTGGACGTTGTTGATTAAAGGAGGGGTTTTGTGATATTTGATGTAAGAGGGCAACGGCTAGTTTTAGGATTTTTATCATTGTGACCGTGGGCTGGAAGTGGGTGACAATTTAATTTTGATAATCTTTTGATTTACAAAATGATGACACCTTACTTCTACTTTAATAAATCCCTGACTTTGGGAGAAATTCTTAGTTGCTCCATTAGTACCATGTGATATACACTACACTAATAAGAATAGAACTTGTAGCACAATAAATATTATTTAATACAATACTCTTTTCTTTTTCATGTACTTTGTGTCACATGATCTATATCTATTAGTGTGATGTATGTCATATCTGTGCTCATTGAGCACCTAAGAATTTTTCGAATTTTAAGACATAGCGTAGAAAACACATAAAAATTAATTTTCTCTTTGATATTCATAATATAATAATCAATTCAGCTTTTATTTATTTATCACCAGATATGTTACATATGTATCTCGTGTGATTCTTCTCTTATATGCGTTCAAACTTCAAAGTTCTTCAGAGTGGGCTAATGACCATAACGCGTCCACTTAAAAAGCATCTCCAAAAAAAAAAACATTTCAAAATCTTAGTCAACCACTGTCTGTAAAGGATCTTTTGCTTTTTTCTTTTCTTTTTCCTCTTTTTTTTATCGATCTATAACAATTTTCTAAAACTTTTGCATTTTCGACTTATTTATAAGATGCTCTAGACCTTTTAATCCACATGCCAATTAGAAAATGAAATAGGAAATATGTTACTAAGGAGGTAGCTTCAATCTAAGGGGGAACCTTTGGAAACTACGACATTTACTTAATCTACTCTATTTATTTTGATCTATATGTCTTGGATGATATATAAACAAAAAATTAATTAGATGTATTGGGTTATAGTTACTCATGCATCAAGTGATTGTAAAAGTGACAATTTTACAATAATATAACTAAAGAGGCAAAAAAAAAAAAATTATGTCAGAAGTATTAAATGTGAGTGGACGTGTGGGGACGTGGCCACACCCACGTGAGCATGCCACAAAACGCGTGAAGGAGTCACCCACGTGAAGAGATCACGTTCATTTGAACGTGGTTTTATGCTTCCGCGTTTTTTCGTTTTGTACCGGAAGAAGGCCCACCCGATAGCTGCTATTAAATATCTATCCTAGGGTTTTGTGGGAAGGGGTGCAGGAGGAGTTTCTTCATAGCCGCCAACGAAGAAAAGCAAAGTGCAAGGGAAATTGGTTTTGCGGCTACAGGAGATCAATTGCACAGAGAGCTAGGATTGATTTTTCGGCTGCAGGTGAAGAACACGAGGAAAAGCAAAGTTTTTTTTTGGAGTTGTTCTTTTATTTGTGCATCCCTTTGAGAGAATATTTGTAAGAGG